CATTTTGGGCTTTTGGTTGGATTTGTGATATAAACAGAGGAAGGCACTGAAACAGTTCTTGCCTTGTTTATTCTTTTTACAAACACCATCCCTTTGTGGATTTAGTTAGAGATTTACACTCTTTGCTAATCATCACCAAAATAAATAGACCCTTACAACTGTCAGTGACAACAGCCAGTTCTGCAGCCTGAGTTCTGAAGGACCAGGCCAGATGGCAGAGCCAGGCCCTTAACACACATAATGTGTGTTCTGTAGCTCTTGGCTTCTGCAGCATAGGCAGCTGACTGCTTTTTAGAGGGCTTAAGGGGAGAGGGAGCAGATTCACCACTCTCCATTTGTCGTGTGGGGCATCTCCAGGAATAAACCCGAAGGTTGCATGAGTGGTATTTGACCGTGGTTAAAACCTGTAGTGTCCTGGCCCAGGGCCAGGCTGGAAATTCTGAACTCCTGGCTTGCTACTAGCATGTTCTCTGGTTGTGTTGCAGTCATGAAGCTTCCCTCTAGACTCTCTGGTGTGTAAAGCGAAGGGGTACAGCTGCCTGTTTCTCTGAATTTTGAAGTACTGTAGCCAGAGATGTTGCACAAATGTGTGGGCGCAATGAGGGCATGAGGTCGTCTCATGCAAGTCAGACTGAAAGGTGGAATCTCCCTTGGGTCGGCTGGGTATAAGCTCTCCTGAGGTTAGGAGGGAAATAGCCATATGTGAAGAGAGCTTCACTTATCCCCTGGCAAGCTTCTTTTCAGTGTAGCTGAAATACTGTGCTCCAAGCTTCCAAATACCGTAGGTAATTTATCAGCAGACAGCCTGGACCTCTTAATGGGGAATCATAAGAGGCTCTGATGTAGGAGCTGCCATATTTCCCTTCCCCCTGGGAGATTGGACTTTTCTTTTTAAGTTCAAAAGACTATACTGATTGGATCTTCTAGGTCTATGTGGGACAGAGTAACTCGCAGGGTCAAATAAACCTTTACATGTGACAGAACGCACAAATATGTAAAACCAGTCACCTCACTAAAAGAACCCAGAGACAAGTGAAGTCCTTTACTGAATGTGCGGACCTTTGCCGTTGGGGAGGGAATATTTGATGGTCAAGCTTTTGTTTGAGTGAGGATTTGGTTTAATGAAGAAAAAGCAGCTGTATGTGGTAAATAAAGAGTAACTCCATTTGATTTTCATATATTATCTTTAGCACCCTCTCCAGTCACACACACTCTCTGAACTTTGAAGGTGGATGTTAAGTGGAATTGTTTGAGATGGTATTGTGGTGGTTATATTGAGATGGTTTATAAGTGGTGCTTACTTTTTCTTTTGGTTCCTGTTAGTGCCCCCACACAGTGCAGCGGGGCCCTCTAGCTCTCTGTGCTCCCCACGCAGCCTGGCGGAGCTCTGTAGCTCTCTGCTCAACCGAAGTGCTGGGTAGGAACTAGTTGGGCATTTGCCTGTTTACTGCTTTTCTACACATTACAGCTTCCTGACTTCAAATAGTGTTTAAACAGACCAAAAACATGTTTTTGGCTGTCATCCAGAGTTTGACTTCTACATCCCCAGTAATGCCATAAAAATGGTCTGTCAAATAAATTTTCAGGAACTGAAAAGAACAAATTCTCTGCTCCATGTGATTGTAGATAATAGAAACAGGCTTCAACTGACCACCTGGCTTGATGCCCATGGCCTAGAAAAACCGAATTGCACAGCATCCCTTGGCAGCATTTCATAGTGATCAGAGTCAATTCCCTGCATGTGATAGATGAGCCTTCCGTTTAAAAAAATTTGCACATAGCATGTATCTCCACTGGTGTTTTGAATTCCATAAAATACTATCTTTCCTTATCCTGCACTGTTGCCAATTAATATATATTTTGAAGCTTTTGAGCCCAGGATTCATTTTATGTTGAGTAAACTTCTAGTGTTAACCATGGGCAGAATCCTTCTATGATTTAGGGTGTGTGTGTGAATACTTCTTGAGAGCAATGTTTCCCTTTCCCTGCCTGGCTATTAGAATGTCTTTATTATTCAGGATCCTAGCTGGAAGAGATGGCACATTGGAATTATGATAGTTTATGAGGGTTTATTTACAAAAGGACTATTTTGAAGGCTCTGGATGTGTGGGGGAAACACCTGGGATAGTGCCTAACCCAGTGGAGCTGTTACTATCCCTAGACCAGAAGGGAGGGAAGGAAAGGTCTGTTGCTAGAACCTAGAAGGAGAGAGTCATGTGGGGAAGGTTGCCTTCTGAATGGCCTGCATTGGAGAGACAGAGTCTGGCCATCTGTGGCCTCTCGTCTCTTCCTTCCCACTTACCTCCCGTCTGGGCTCCCCACTGGCTGACCCCTGTCAGAAGCCTAAAGGCATGGAATCCTTTCATTTGGTTCCATAGGTCAGCTTCCTGGGAGAGAGAGCAGGACAGAAGGCAGAGCGTGGATGTGGAAGGTTTTCCGAAGGCATCAGGCACATATCCCAATGTAGGTGTCAGGTTATTCCTTGAAGAGGCATAAAAAATCTCAATAGAAAGCTTCAACTCACTTTTATTTTTAAATAGCTTTATTTAAGTATGATTGACATAAAGTAAACTACACATTTGAAGTATGCAATTTGATAAGTTTTGATGTGTGTATACCTATGAAACCATCACCACCATTAAGAGAGTAAACATATCCATCACCTTCAAAATGTACATTTTAATTTAGCATTTAAGATATTCCGTATGGTTCTTGGGAGGCTGTGGGAGGATAATCATGAAAGCAAGGTGCAATGCCCAAAGCACTGGCTCTGGAAAGACACACCAAAAAAAATAAAATTCAGGGCAATGTCAAAACTTATGAGAAAGCTATGTACAAGTAGTTTGTAATAAATTAGAAAAAAAAAGATTGTGAGTTTGAAAGGTTTGGTCTCTAGTTTTTGGTCTCTATTTTTTATGTTTATTGCCACATATTTTTAAAAGTAAGACAAAAATCTGTGAATCTGTCTAGTGTGAGTAGTCCATATTTAAGTCTGAGAAAATCATTGATGAATCAGAATTTAGTAGTACTAGCAGAACTATAGATATGTAGTTCTGGTATGCATTTTATCTGATGTTCATATGCCCACAATATGCTCCTGGGGCAGGCCCCAGTGTAGATGCGTGTTCTGTATAATGGCACCCCGTCCCCTCAGGAAAGCGTATTGAAATGTAGGTGAGAGGGGATGAGGTGTTATTGATAACAATACTTATAGCTACTGCCATGACCATTATTGAGTGTTTAGTATGTGCTTGGAGATACAGCTGGGATGAGATTTAGTTCTCTGAGCTTTATGCCATCCTACTTTAAGTTATAAAAGCCAGTAAATCTTGTGCACATCCATTTTTTTGCCATTTATTAATAATTGCTTGCCACCCACCCAGCAGCTGATGGAGGCACCAGAGAGTCCTGGCCTGGGATGACAACTCTCATCCTCAACCTTCTGTATTCCTGGAGCCCCATTTATTCTAGGGGAATCAGGAGTGCCCAGTGCTAGGGATAGCTGGCATCCAGTGTGGAATCTAATGGTAGACCCCAGCCCCACTCCATACAAAGAAGAGTATTTCCTGACGAAGCCAGACAAGGCAAGAAAAAGTTTGAAGTTTTAGGGGAGGGAGGAGCTGTGCAGACAAGGAGGGAGGCCCTGGGGACCCCGGGGTCCCCCAGCAGTGTGTGCAGTGGCATCTTTCAGTACAGGGACTATGACAGGGACCACACTGGCTTCGCTGCTGGTTCTGGCCTTGGGGCCTTTGCACTTTTTGTTCCTTAAGCCCATATTATTCTTGCCCCAGATTTTTGCAAGTCTCTTCCACTCTCTGACTTTATTCATATTACTGCTTAAATATCTCCTCCTCAGAGGACCTTTTTTTTTTTTGCCACTCTCTCTAAAGTATCATCTCTTTCACTTTCTCCCTCTCCTCCTTAATTTTCCTTATATCAGTGATCACTATTGGACATCATAATTTCAGTTCTCAACCTTTTTGATCTTAGGATCTCTGCATGTGCTTAAAAATTATTGAGGACCCCAAAGAGCTTATGTTTATGTGGGTTATACCTTTCACAATTTACTATATTAAAAATGTTTTATTTATTGAAAAACAATAATAATCCAGTTACATGTTAATATAAATAACTTATGAAAAAATAACTTTTCCAAAGCAAGCGAATTACATAGAGTGACGTTATTTTGTATTTTTGTTCATCTTCTGTTAATAGAAGTTAGAAGATTCTTACACCTGCTTCTGCATTCAATCTGTTGTGGTATCTTGCTTTGATAAAAGTTGATGAAGAACATCTAGTCTCACACAGAATTATAAATGGAAAAGGGAGGGTTATCCGAATAGTCATTTAATTTAATTGTGGATATTCTATTTCAACATTACACCAAGACTCATTGTATGTGGTCATTTCTTAAAGGCTAGCTGTTGTGTGGTCCTTGGACCCTGGGCATCCTTGTGTGAGCCACTTCCCACCAGTGGGTCAGATGGCCACTTTTTTAAAGGAAAAGATGGTCACTATCTTTTGAAATTGTCATTTACCTTAAGTGGAATAAGAAAGGCAAATCATTACTCTAATTATACTTTTGAATAACTCTTTAAAAATTACCAAGTCTTGAAGGATTACAAAAACTCCTTCTAATGAAACACTAACTTCTAGGTGCACAAAAATTTTTGGAATACTTTTTCATTGATAGATCCATGCTTTATATTATGGCTACTTTTTTGAGGTAGGAAGTGAAAACTTAAGGGTTTGTAGAATAGTGCTTTGATAAATATTTGTTGAAAATCTCTAACATTTGTCAGAGTGCTTTTATTCATTTTTTCAAATCCTGTTTATTACCTTATTTGAAAAAGTAAGGAAAATGCTTTTAGAAATGTCTTTAAGTCAGTACAGGAAAGAGTTAAACATTCAAGCCTACAGATATGTCCAATAAACTAGGAGACTTATTTGCTTGTTCAGAATGTTTCACCATCATTAATCCATAACTTTATCTTTTGAAGATCCACACAGGTTTACAGCATGAAATAATCTGGCCCTGTCAGCCCAGCTGCATTCCTCTGGATGAAAAGCTCCTTCCCCAGCTTCTAAAAGAGGCAGGCTACACTACCCATATGGTCGGAAAATGGCACCTGGGAATGTACCGGAAAGAATGCCTTCCAACCCGCAGAGGATTTGATACCTACTTTGGTAATGGAAATGCACATGTTTCTTTAACAACTTAGACTAACTGCAGTCATCTCATAAAACACATCCCAGTGTAATCAAATGAAATAACTGGAAACTTGGACACAGAATGAATCTGTCAGCACTGCCATGGGCAACTTTCTAATGGCACCTCTGTAAATGTGGCTCTGTGCTCAGCTCATGGTGTGTATGAGCCCACAGGGGGCAGGGGAGAGGTTATCTTTGCTAAGGTACTGAATGCCATGTTGGGGCCTTCGAAGAGTTTTCTCCCTGCACATCCAAGACGATTGTACTCTTAGAGAACCATACTACCAAATGGGATACAGACTGATTTTTTTTTATTAAGGTATCATTGATATACAGTCTTATGAAGGTTTCACATGAGCAACATTGTGGTTACAACATTCACCCATATTATCAAGTCCCCTCCCCACACCCCATTGCAGTCACTGCCCATCAGCATAGTAAGATGCTATAGAATCACTACTTGTCTTCTCTGTGCTATGCTGCCTTCCACGTTCCCCCCCTATATTATGTGTGCTATCATAATGCCCCTTAATCTCCTTCTTCCTCCCTCCCCAGTCACTCTTCCCATGCCCTTCCCTTTGGTAACTGCTAGTCCCTTCTTGGAATCTGAGTCTGCTGCTGTTTTGTTCCTTCAGTTTTGCTTTGTTGTTATACTCCACAAATGAGAGAAATCATTTGGTACTTGTCTTTCTCCACCTGGCTTATTTTACTGAGTATACTGTAATACCCTCTAGCTCCATCCATGTTGTTGCAAATGGGAGGATTTGTTTTCTTCTTATGGCTGAATAATATTCATTGTGTATACATACCACATCTTCTTTATCCATTCATGTACTGACGGACACTTAGATTGCTACCACATCTTGGCTATTGTAACTAGTGCTGCAATAAACATAGAGATGCATATATCTTTTCGAATCTAGGATCTTGTTTTCTTTGTGTAAATTCCTAGGAGTGGAATTCCCAGGTCAAAAGGTATTTCTATGTTTATTTTTTAAAGGAACCTCCATATTGCTTTCCACAATGGTTGAGCTAATTTACATTCCCACCAACAGTGTAGGAGGGTTCCCCTTTCTCTGCACCCTCACCAGCATTTGTTGTTCCTTGTCTTTTGGATGTTGGCCATCCTAAATGGTGTGAGGTGATATCTCATTGTGGTTTTAATTTGCATTTCTGTGATGATTAGTGATGTGGATCATCTTTTCATGTGGCTGTTGGCCATCTGAATTTCTTCTTTGGAGACGTGTCTGTTCAGATCCTCTGCCCACTATTTAATCGGGTTATTTGTTTTTTGGGTGTTGAGGTGTGTGAGGTCTTTATATATTTTGATGTTAACCCCTTATTGGATAAGTTGTTTACAAATACATTCCCCCGTACTGTAGGATGCCTTTTTGTTCTGTTGATGGTGCCCTTTGCTGTGCAGAATCTTTTTAGTTTGATGTAGTCCCATTTGTTCACTTTTGCTTTTGTTTCCCTTGCCAGAGGAGATGCATTCAGGAAAAAGTTGCTCATGTTTATATTCAAAAGATTTTTGCCTATGTTTCCTTCTGTGAGTCTTATGGTTTCATGGCTTACATTCACATCTTTGATCCATTTCGAGTTTACTTTTGTGTATGGGAATAGTCAATAATCCAGTTTCATTCTCTTACATGTAGCTTTCCAGTTTTGCCAACACCAGTTGTTGAAGAGGCTGTCATTTCCCCATTGTATGTCCATGGCTCCTTTTTTGTATATTAATTGGCCATACGTGTGTGGGTTCATATCTGTGCTCTCTATTCTATTCCATCAATCTATGGGTCTGTTTTTGTGCCAGTACCAAATTGTTTTGATTAGTGTGACTTTGTATTAGAGCTTGAAGTTGCGGAGCATTATCCTCCAGCTTTCTTTTTCCTTCTCAGGATTACTTTGGGTATTTGGGGTCTTTTGTGGTTCCATATGAATTTTAGAACTATTTGTTCTAGTTTGTTGAACAATGTTGTCGGTATTTTGTTGGGGATTGCATTGAATGTGTAGATTGCTTTAGGCAGGATGGCCATTTTGACAGTATTAATTCTTCCTGTCCTTGAGCATGAGATGTATTTCCATTTATTGGTATCTTCTTTAATTTGTCTCATGAGTGTCTTGTAGTTTTCAGAGTATAGGTCTTTCACCTCCTTGGTTAGGTTTATTCCTAGGTATTTTTTTCTTTTTGATGCAATTGTGAATGGAATTGTTTTCCTCATTTCTTTTTCTGCTAATTAATCATTAGTATATAGGAATGTGACATTTCTATTAATACAAATTTTGTATTCTGCAACTTTGCTGAATTCAAATATTAGTTCTAGTAGTTTTGGGGTGAATGTTTTAGGACTTTATGTACAATATCATGCCAGATACAGATTGATATTTTTTTTTTATTTGGAAGCAACCTTAGTGTCCATCAGCAGATGAATGGATAAAGAAGATGTGGTACATATGTACAATGGAATACTATTCAGCCATAAGAAAGAAACAAATCCTACCATTTGCAACAACATGGATGGAGCTGGAGGCCCTTATGCTCAGTGAAATAAGCCAGGTGGAGAAAGACAAATGCCAAACGATTTCCCTCATTGAAACAATGAGTATAACAATGAAGCAAAACTGAAGGAACAAAATGGCAAGCAGACTCAGAGACTCCAAGAATGAACAGTGGTTACCAAAGGGGAGCGGTGCGGGAGGGCAGGTGGGGAGGGAGGAAGAAGGGAACTGAGGGGTATTATGTTTAGTACACATGGTGTTGGGGATCACGGGGAGAACAGTGTAGCACAGAAAAGGCACATAGTGGATCTCTGGCAACTTGCTGCACTGATGGACAGTGACTGCATTGGGGTATGGGTGGGGACTTGATAACATGGGTAAATATAGTAACCATATTGTTTTTTCATGTGAAACCTTCATAAGAGTGTATATCAATAATACCTTAATAAAAAAAAAAATTCCAGGCCGAACCCAATACAAGAGTGTTTCCTTCACAAAGGTTCAAAATATTTTTTTCTCCCTGTGGATTGTGTTCAAAGATTTTTATTTTTGCTGAAGCTGGTGGAGAAGACTCTTTCCATTGGCATCCTGCTCTGAGAGCTGTTTTTGAAATCTCTAGACTGGGGAAGATAAACCAAAGAAATAAAATGGGATAAACAACAAATGGCAATAGGAATGATAGTAAGAAATAATAAGTACTTTATAGACTTGATAGCCTTCTAAAAATAAATGTGAAACCTAAAGGTTGTTTTAAAACATGCCATCCCTTAACATGTTACAAACCGTGTCTTAATTAACATCTGTTTATCTTGCAGAGGCTATATATCTTTCTGTCAAGTTCTTTTCATATTGAGCTTTCTGTCTAGCTATTTACCTATCTGCCTAGCTCTCATTTGTCTCTTCATTTATTCACAACCTGCCATATCAAAAAGGAATACATATTTAACATAAAGATTTAAAAATAGAATAAAAATCAGGGTGAGTAGAAAAAGATGAAGTAGTTTGCATTAGCATCAAATTGCAAACAAACTGCATGGCTCTGGCAGGATTTACATTCAACACTGAGATTTGAGATTTCTTATGTCCAGATAAATTTTAAAAGGGAGAACACTGTAAGAATCACATTATTTATAAGATAAATGAAAATCAGATGTTCAGGAAGAGGAAAGCATTTTCTGGCCCTTAGACTTGAGAGAAATTTCTCCTTTGGGAGAAGGTAAGATAGACAGCATCCTGAAAAACATCATTTTAGTAAAAAACGTGGTGGTTTTCTTGTAGATGTTTCTTGAGGCATTCATTTTTATTAGGGCCAGAGCACCAAAGGGCATTTCAGTAGAATGATTACACTGGGCCCAAACAGTGCAGATGAATTACACAGCTCTGTAGTGCCTTGTTGGATGCAAGGTTAAAGTTGAGATGCAAGGACAATCAGACATGAGACCACATGTGCTCCACCCCTGCCTGGGTCCTCCAGCAGATATCATTCATCAAGCATGGCATTCTTTCTGATGAACCTGGATATATCTTTAGTATCCTTAAATAGCTATTAAAAATTTGACTTGGGTGTAAAACCTCTTTGTCATCTCGGAAATTCCAGAGAAAAAAAACATCCTTTGACGATTTTCAGTCACTCCTTTGCTAAAAGATGGGTCAATACCTATGTTCTACCAAGAAGAAGGACTATAGATTGTTTCTTTCTTAAAGGCCAAATTATATATTTAAAAATTCATCTGGGAAAAAGGTAGAAATGATATCTTTTAATGAGAATTAAGAAGTCTAACCAGGATTTAGATGAACAGACAGAACTCCTCATTCATATGGAATGGAGACTTGCAGACAAGGAGCTTTTATCACTATTTTGACTTAGATATTCTGTTAAAAAGCAGTCAGCTGATTGTGGGACTGGTTGCACCACTCTAGGAAAACATAGAAACCATTCAATTATGCCCTTTAAATGGGTGACTTGTATGGTATGTGAATTACATATATCAATAAGACTATTAAATAAAGCAGAGATTTAGTTGTTCAAAAAGTATTTTCTCATGTTTTCCCAAAAAAGCATAGTTTGCCATCTTTAGGCTCTGAATATAAGTTCAAATTTGTGAATCACTGTTATGAGAAAAGTTCTATGTAATTGCCACATGGTTGCATGTTATTAGTTTGGACAAGTATGTGAATAAAGAGATCTATTTTGGAATCCTCCTATTGTAATATCATTTTAATATTTATATTCAGACTACTTTTAATCAAATATATCCTGTACATATATTCTCTGAAGTGATAGAAAGCTCATTTATAAATAAAGACCCTGAAGTGATATACTCGAACTCTAACATTCATAATCATTAAAAATCCCACATAGAGCACCAATGTCCTGGCCCCTCTAGCTACCCCTATAAGGGATGAAATTATTTTAATGGATATATTTCTTTATTACATATTAGTTAGCAGTTATATATATTTCCCTTTCTGTTGTATGGACAGAAGAAAATATCATTTAAAAAGTTATCTTAAGACCAAGGTATTCATTGTGTTTAGGACATTGAATCTATTGAATCGTGGAAAAAGACAAAATTAATGAAAAATGAATTAACTTATTATGTAAGATGTAAAGGCTTTTAATTGTGATTATACAGAACATGCAGGACTGGAAAAGGGGCTAGGTCAATTTTATCATCTTCATTTTAAGGTTAAAGGCCGTATTTATCAGGAGATAGCTCAGAGTCCAGCAAAGTTATTTCTTTTTTGTAGCTTTTTGAGGTGTAATTCACATACTCCACAATTCACCCAATGAAAGTGTACAATTCAGTTATTTTTAATAAATTCACTGGGTTATGACTGTCATCACAATCCAGTACTAGAACATTTCCATAGCCCCCAAAAGAAGCTCTATGCCAATAGTGGTCACTCCCCAGTTTCCCTCAGCCCCTCCAGCCCTAGGCAACCACTAACCTACTTTTTGTCTTTATAGATTTACCTATTTCTTCTGGACACTTAATATAAATGGAGTCATGTAATACGCTTATTTTTTAGGGAAATATGGAGCATTTGCAGAAACAAGTCTTAATTGAAAAAAACCCATTTCTTTCCATGTTAAGTCTAACTTGTGGGATAGGCAGTTGATGCCATTTAAATTTGGGGTGTAACTGAGATTTGGGGTGTAGGTAGAAAAATGTAATTTCAGCGCTGAAGGTTTGATCTTTTGGCTCTGTTATGTCTGGAGATCCTGTTTGGAAAGATTCATGTCTTTCACCAGTGGGTGTCAGCATCTGACTAAAAATGATTCCTCCTAGAGCCGATTCTGTAAATGACCTTGAAGCCAGTTCCCCCCCAAGGTCAATATCAACATTATTTGAATTGTGTGTTCATTTATGTGATCACCTCAGACTAGAAACTTCTAACAAATCATATTAACCATGTACTATATTAGCCATTAGATAGCTTTAAAAGATTATGATGTTATCACCTTTACTGAATTTGAACTCTGATTTTTTCAAAGCATATTTACTTGGAATCACTCACTTTGAGAGTTACATTATAGAGCTTGTGTCCTGAAGACTTGACTGAGGAGTGGATTTGAATTTTTTTTGTCATAACATTTTAATGGCTTCTACCAAATATAGAGATGTTAAGAAATGGTTCTCTGATTGGCCTTGTTATTTGATTAGTCTTGTCATGGGTAATCAATTGCGTTATGCTAAAGCATTAGTTTGCTTAACAAGATTTATGCTATGCTAACTACTTTCATCTACCATTTTTGTCATAGGATATCTCCTAGGTAGTGAAGATTACTATTCTCATAAACACTGTACATTAATCTATGCTCTGAATGTCACACGATGTGCTCTTGATTTTCGAAATGGTGAAGAAGTTGCAATGGGATATGAAAATATGTACTCAACAAATATATTTACCGAAAGGGCTGTAGCCCTTATAACTAACCATCCACCAGAGAAGGTAAGTCTTGATTCTTCACTGATAATCAAAATCATTTAAAATAGTATCTGTTCAGATGAATGTAGGAAAAGGACACTGTTTTTTAGGAAAAATTAAATAAATCCTAGGGGAGAAGTTTCCAGATTTTAGAGTACATCAATATCAGCCTGGGAAGCTTGTTAAAAATAGAAATTCTAGGAGCCCATTAAGAGTTTGATTCATTAGGTCTTGGGGAAATCATATGTCAGCATTTTAAAGAAACTCCTTAAGGGTGATTCTGACTCAAATGGTACCCAAATCACACTTTGAGGAATACTTTGTCTATAGTGTTTTTGTAGAAATACGGTTTTATTATTTTGGTATATTGTGTACATGTGCTGTAAGTCACTAGTCAGTTGACTTTTTTAAATGATAGGCTATGTACAAGATGGGGTTTTTCATGGCAAACTTTCAGTTAAGAGATCAACAAATTTTAGGCTCAGGGCAAGTCCTCTTAACTTTGTATTCCCCCCTCCCTCCTACCAAGATTATTTAGGCCATTCTAGGTATTTTTCATTCCCATGTGAATTTTAGAATCAGCTGGTCAGTTTCTACCAAAAAAAGAGAGTGCCTGCTTGAATTTGGATTTCACTGAATCTATAGAACAATTTGGAGAGAATGAACTTCTTAACAATATTGAGTCATCCAATCTATAAACATGGTATAACAATGAGCCTGTTTTCCACATTTACCATTCTGAAGTGATTGTGTATATCACGTTCTGAGATCTTTTGACTTATCTGTAGGTGGAAATAGATAAGAGTCTGAATAGCCTTAAACATTTTTTTTGTTAACCTAGAGTTAGCCTCATGAGCTAAAATTTAAGCTAAATTCTCTGGATTTAACTTATACATGCCTTTAAAATTGTGTCATATATTGTGTTGTCAGATATTGGGCTCAAAGTATGCCTTCATGAAGAACTGTATTAGCACACCCATGAAATTAGCCCTTCAATATGACTGTGACATAGCAAATTACCAAATGTGCAGTGTTTTCTGGTTCATCCAATTTCCTGCATTTTGCCTCTTTGACAATAGCTGAAGGTCCTCAGTGTGGATCATAATTTGGATTCCAGCTTGTATACCTGTTCAGACTTGGTACAAAACGATTTCCCTCATTGAAACAATGAGTATAACAATGAAGCAAAACTGAAGGAACAAAATGGCAAGCAGACTCAGAGACTCCAAGAATGAACAGTGGTTACCAAAGGGGAGCGGTGCGGGAGGGCAGGTGGGGAGGGAGGAAGAAGGGAACTGAGGGGTATTATGTTTAGTACACATGGTGTTGGGGATCACGGGGAGAACAGTGTAGCACAGAAAAGGCACATAGTGGATCTCTGGCAACTTGCTGCACTGATGGACAGTGACTGCATTGGGGTATGGGTGGGGACTTGATAACATGGGTAAATATAGTAACCATATTGTTTTTTCATGTGAAACCTTCATAAGAGTGTATATCAATAATACCTTAATAAAAAAAAAAATTCCAGGCCGAACCCAATACAAGAGTGTTTCCTTCACAAAGGTTCAAAATATTTTTTTCTCCCTGTGGATTGTGTTCAAAGATTTTTATTTTTGCTGAAGCTGGTGGAGAAGACTCTTTCCATTGGCATCCTGCTCTGAGAGCTGTTTTTGAAATCTCTAGACTGGGGAAGATAAACCAAAGAAATAAAATGGGATAAACAACAAATGGCAATAGGAATGATAGTAAGAAATAATAAGTACTTTATAGACTTGATAGCCTTCTAAAAATAAATGTGAAACCTAAAGGTTGTTTTAAAACATGCCATCCCTTAACATGTTACAAACCGTGTCTTAATTAACATCTGTTTATCTTGCAGAGGCTATATATCTTTCTGTCAAGTTCTTTTCATATTGAGCTTTCTGTCTAGCTATTTACCTATCTGCCTAGCTCTCATTTGTCTCTTCATTTATTCACAACCTGCCATATCAAAAAGGAATACATATTTAACATAAAGATTTAAAAATAGAATAAAAATCAGGGTGAGTAGAAAAAGATGAAGTAGTTTGCATTAGCATCAAATTGCAAACAAACTGCATGGCTCTGGCAGGATTTACATTCAACACTGAGATTTGAGATTTCTTATGTCCAGATAAATTTTAAAAGGGAGAACACTGTAAGAATCACATTATTTATAAGATAAATGAAAATCAGATGTTCAGGAAGAGGAAAGCATTTTCTGGCCCTTAGACTTGAGAGAAATTTCTCCTTTGGGAGAAGGTAAGATAGACAGCATCCTGAAAAACATCATTTTAGTAAAAAACGTGGTGGTTTTCTTGTAGATGTTTCTTGAGGCATTCATTTTTATTAGGGCCAGAGCACCAAAGGGCATTTCAGTAGAATGATTACACTGGGCCCAAACAGTGCAGATGAATTACACAGCTCTGTAGTGCCTTGTTGGATGCAAGGTTAAAGTTGAGATGCAAGGACAATCAGACATGAGACCACATGTGCTCCACCCCTGCCTGGGTCCTCCAGCAGATATCATTCATCAAGCATGGCATTCTTTCTGATGAACCTGGATATATCTTTAGTATCCTTAAATAGCTATTAAAAATTTGACTTGGGTGTAAAACCTCTTTGTCATCTCGGAAATTCCAGAGAAAAAAAACATCCTTTGACGATTTTCAGTCACTCCTTTGCTAAAAGATGGGTCAATACCTATGTTCTACCAAGAAGAAGGACTATAGATTGTTTCTTTCTTAAAGGCCAAATTATATATTTAAAAATTCATCTGGGAAAAAGGTAGAAATGATATCTTTTAATGAGAATTAAGAAGTCTAACCAGGATTTAGATGAACAGACAGAACTCCTCATTCATATGGAATGGAGACTTGCAGACAAGGAGCTTTTATCACTATTTTGACTTAGATATTCTGTTAAAAAGCAGTCAGCTGATTGTGGGACTGGTTGCACCACTCTAGGAAAACATAGAAACCATTCAATTATGCCCTTTAAATGGGTGACTTGTATGGTATGTGAATTACATATATCAATAAGACTATTAAATAAAGCAGAGATTTAGTTGTTCAAAAAGTATTTTCTCATGTTTTCCCAAAAAAGCATAGTTTGCCATCTTTAGGCTCTGAATATAAGTTCAAATTTGTGAATCACTGTTATGAGAAAAGTTCTATGTAATTGCCACATGGTTGCATGTTATTAGTTTGGACAAGTATGTGAATAAAGAGATCTATTTTGGAATCCTCCTATTGTAATATCATTTTAATATTTATATTCAGACTACTTTTAATCAAATATATCCTGTACATATATTCTCTGAAGTGATAGAAAGCTCATTTATAAATAAAGACCCTGAAGTGATATACTCGAACTCTAACATTCATAATCATTAAAAATCCCACATAGAGCACCAATGTCCTGGCCCCTCTAGCTACCCCTATAAGGGATGAAATTATTTTAATGGATATATTTCTTTATTACATATTAGTTAGCAGTTATATATATTTCCCTTTCTGTTGTATGGACAGAAGAAAATATCATTTAAAAAGTTATCTTAAGACCAAGGTATTCATTGTGTTTAGGACATTGAATCTATTGAATCGTGGAAAAAGACAAAATTAATGAAAAATGAATTAACTTATTATGTAAGATGTAAAGGCTTTTAATTGTGATTATACAGAACATGCAGGACTGGAAAAGGGGCTAGGTCAATTTTATCATCTTCATTTTAAGGTTAAAGGCCGTATTTATCAGGAGATAGCTCAGAGTCCAGCAAAGTTATTTCTTTTTTGTAGCTTTTTGAGGTGTAATTCACATACTCCACAATTCACCCAATGAAAGTGTACAATTCAGTTATTTTTAATAAATTCACTGGGTTATGACTGTCATCACAATCCAGTACTAGAACATTTCCATAGCCCCCAAAAGAAGCTCTATGCCAATAGTGGTCACTCCCCAGTTTCCCTCAGCCCCTCCAGCCCTAGGCAACCACTAACCTACTTTTTGTCTTTATAGATTTACCTATTTCTTCTGGACACTTAATATAAATGGAGTCATGTAATACGCTTATTTTTTAGGGAAATATGGAGCATTTGCAGAAACAAGTCTTAATTGAAAAAAACCCATTTCTTTCCATGTTAAGTCTAACTTGTGGGATAGGCAGTTGATGCCATTTAAATTTGGGGTGTAACTGAGATTTGGGGTGTAGGTAGAAAAATGTAATTTCAGCGCTGAAGGTTTGATCTTTTGGCTCTGTTATGTCTGGAGATCCTGTTTGGAAAGATTCATGTCTTTCACCAGTGGGTGTCAGCATCTGACTAAAAATGATTCCTCCTAGAGCCGATTCTGTAAATGACCTTGAAGCCAGTTCCCCCCCAAGGTCAATATCAACATTATTTGAATTGTGTGTTCATTTATGTGATCACCTCAGACTAGAAACTTCTAACAAATCATATTAACCATGTACTATATTAGCCATTAGATAGCTTTAAAAGATTATGATGTTATCACCTTTACTGAATTTGAACTCTGATTTTTTCAAAGCATATTTACTTGGAATCACTCACTTTGAGAGTTACATTATAGAGCTTGTGTCCTGAAGACTTGACTGAGGAGTGGATTTGAATTTTTTTTGTCATAACATTTTAATGGCTTCTACCAAATATAGAGATGTTAAGAAATGGTTCTCTGATTGGCCTTGTTATTTGATTAGTCTTGTCATGGGTAATCAATTGCGTTATGCTAAAGCATTAGTTTGCTTAACAAGATTTATGCTATGCTAACTACTTTCATCTACCATTTTTGTCATAGGATATCTCCTAGGTAGTGAAGATTACTATTCTCATAAACACTGTACATTAATCTATGCTCTGAATGTCACACGATGTGCTCTTGATTTTCGAAATGGTGAAGAAGTTGCAATGGGATATGAAAATATGTACTCAACAAATATATTTACCGAAAGGGCTGTAGCCCTTATAACTAACCATCCACCAGAGAAG